GCAATCTACTGCAAAACTCCCCGAGCTCCCTGGACTGCGGAGACAGAGCAGCCCCTGAAGGCTTGGACTGAAATGTCAAGAAACCCGGGGCTGCTCTCCACACTTCTGGGTCCGGGCCAGGCGGCCCCCCAAGGCTCCTGAGCTATTTTTAACCCTAGGGACCCTCAGGCAGTTCTGGCTGAGTTTGTGGTGTTCTTTTTACTGCCTCTAAGTGTTACTCAATCAAGTTCAAAGCCTTGGGCTAAAAATAACCCCTGGAAAGGGAAGGAGGGAGGAAAGACAGGGTTGGAATGAGGCCTTTGGTTTAGGGGCGAGTCTTGCTGAGTTGAAGCAACGTCTCTGGCTTCCAGGAGAGAAGAGCCACTTCCCGCGTTACAGTGAGTGCACCCGACAGCTCCCTGGTTGGAGGCAGAACCCTGGAGACGGTTTTCAGAGGAAAACTGATCACAGGAACCCCCTCGACACAAGGAAATTCTTTTGGTTCCTTGGAGCTAAGTAAGGGAGGGCGGGGGCGGGTCCTCTCTAGGCAGCACCTTGCACAGTTGCTATGGAGACGTGAGTCATCTTCTTTAGAGGATGCGTGTTTAGGAGCAAGGAGAGAACTCGGGGGAATTCTTGGGTCCTTCTTCCTTGGGACAAGTTATTTCCACGACACCCAAGTCACTGCAGGACTATCTCAGACATTTAGTGTCTCGAGTGAGATTCACATCTAGTTTCAGGGCTTAAACTAGCCTGGAAGATACAGACCACAGCCCGTCCAAAGGTCAAAAAGCGATACCAAACCCTCGCCCACAAGGAAGGATTTCAAGTCAACACTCCAGGCCTTTCCTCCGTCTTCGGAGCTCAGATTCTCCCAGTCTTCTCTGCAAGGTCAAGGCTCTTCACCTTTAAAAAGGTGCAGCCTGTGGTACAACAAGCCTTGGAGGCCAGGCAAAGAAGTCAGAGACGCAGGGGCCTGTCCTGGCTGCATCTGAAATCCAACCGCGGAAGTATCAGGTTCCTTTTCCAGAGGCGACCAAAGTGCCCAGGGGAGGGACAGGTGCCTGCTTTCGCACAGCCTTCTCCTTCGGGGCACGGATGTCCTGGCAGCCAGCGGCCTCTCCCGGGAGGCAAGTACAACCCTCTGGTGGGGAAACCAAGCCGCTGAGGAGGAGCCTCAGGGAGATTCTGGAAGGTAGGCGGCCCCAAAGGGTTGTTTTCACAGTGTTGCGAAGGGCAGAGCGATGTGAAAGAAATTGGGAAAATCCTAGAATGACACCTTTCCTTCTTTCCACACGGGCATTTATGTCGGGGGGATGTACTCTGCACGGAAGATACGCTACTTAGGACACAGGGGGAGCGGGCTCCCTGCCCAGCATGACTGTGCGGGTCACACAAGATGGTTCTGAAACGGCCTGGCCCAGGGTTGGCACAGGGGGAGCACAAGCAATAAACATCAGCCCCTTTTCTTCTTCAAGATCAGATTAGACCCCAGACACAGCACAAGAGTCTCCTGGAAAACGCAGCGTGGCTAGTGAGTGCACGGGTTTATCACCAAAGGAACGCATCTGCCCACGATCCTCACTTTCTGCCATAGCTTTCTGGCCCTTTGCAGGGATGTACTAAAAGGTGACTGAGGTTAAAAGACATTTCCCCCCCCTTGGGAAAACATGTTCATTCATTGGCACAAGGCAGTTCACAGGCCTCATTCATGAAATTCTGAAGGCTTATCGCAGGGACAGTGTGAGAGCCAGTCACCTCACTCGGCTTGACCCGGGTGTGTGGGTGGCCACGACCCACCTGCGACCCGGAGAAGCTGGAGTTCCTGCTTCACGCCACCTTCCCATTATGCCCCTACATACGGAGTCCCCCTCCCCACCCCCCATGCCCTATTTTGTCCCGGGGTTTAAGGAACTTAACACAAAGTTTCATTTTTGAGAGGCACAAAGAAATAAAGCTCTGAGAATGCCTTCCGGGGGGAAAAGCATGAAAGGCAGATTTTATGTAAAATTATAGAGTGCAATCTAATACATTTTTTTTTTAAAATGAGGGAGTTGGGAGGAGGAAGGAGAGAGCCTTAGAAACCAATCGTTTTGTCATTCTTAAGGAACACGTTCCAGCCCTGGAATCCAAGATTCAGAGTTAGTATTTTCCCGGATTATGAATTTAATAATTTTTCTTCCTGCAAAGCCGACATTTTAAACCTCGTCCCCCTCCCTACCCCCACCCCCTGCCCGAGATTGGTAGAGATGGAACGCCGCTCTGAACTCTGGCCCAACTTCTACGCAGGACTGATGGCAATCGACACGCCAACCGGCATCTCGGGCTCCTGCGGTAACACTCACACGAGGTACAGTCTCCGTTTTGAGCAGGCTCAGGGGAGGGTCGCCCCCGAGAAGAAATCCGTCTCCGTGAGTTTGGAAAGACAAAGTTATAACTCAGAGTGGAATGGCACCTACAGGACCAAGAGTGGGGGCCGTCGTCCCTGGGCCTGCTCCCGGGGGGCTGTCGGGGTGCAGGCATGGCCTTGCCTGATGGTGGGGGAGGTGGGCCCCGGAGCACAGGCCTGAACAGCGGACCGTGGCTGCTCCTTGGCCAGGTCATCTCTCTGTTGGGTCGTCGGAGCCCATGGGGACATCAGAGATGGGGAGAGAGTCCTATGTCCCAGCAGGGCTGTGGAGGCCGCTGCTGATTCTGAAGGGGCCTGGCTATCCCATCTCTGGACTCACTGTCCCTAAATAGACCATCACACCACTCTGGGCCCCGGCCGGGGACTAGGAGGCAGCCATCATTGAGGTAAGAGCCTGCGTCAAGCTTCTCTGCCAGCAACAAACACGTCTTCGGCTACGACAGTGGTACTCCGCGATCTTGAATCCCCGCCAACCGCAGGAAGCCACGCACACACGGCGGAACTGTGACGACTCCGCAGCTCGGAGCACACGAGGCCTGTGTCATCCAGCTGTAAACCTCAGTGACAGTCTGCTCCACCCAGTGGCCACCAGGCAGCTGGCTGGGGGATCACATCCCGGCACACAGCCAGGCTAACAACTCTCTCTGCTAAATGCTCCTCAGTCCGTTTCTCGTCCTTTTTCTACCTCCATCCACCAGCCCATTTCTCTCCCTCCCTCCCTCCTGCCATCTCCCTGAGCCTCAGACATCACAGCCAGCGGAAGCTTCTGGGTTATTCTTTTTCCTTGTATCCGAGACAATCTGCTTAATGTTCAGATACGCAGGGCACAAAAAGGCAAAATAGTTTCGTTTTAGAAGGCATTAAAAAAATAATGTACAACCACAAATCACTTGACAATTTTATGATTAAAACCAACAAATGAAAACAGACAGTTTTGAGTGCTGTTCACATCATCCAGCATTTCATGCCAACCCGCTCAACCACCCCGGCCCTCAGATCTATTTCTAGACGCGCCTCGTGTGTCTGCAGATAAATCACTCGTGCACTTCAAAGAGGGCTTCAGTGTTGAAACTGGAAGCCAGAGCTTTGGGTGAAAAGTCACTGTTTCATGGGAACCGGTTTCCGGTTGTACGAGACACTCAAAAGTCAGGTTCCCAGGAAACACGTGGTGCTGTGGACACGCATGTCATGGCAGGACGTTAAACAGGACTGTCGGGGAAACGATGTGAGCACGTTTCATGTTCAGGCAGAAGGCGGTGATCTTCTGGGATAACACTACTTGAGACAGTGGAGGGCTCACGTGGAAGACAGCGTTTGCTTCGTGAGAACAAGAAATCCCGGGACCAGGGCATCCGCACAGCAGCGAACCGAGTCCTCCGTGGACGCGTCTGAGGTGGGGCTTCACGGTTCGTTTACAGTTGAGGAAAAACTATTTTAGTGACTTGGCCAAAACCATACAAAGGGAGGGAGCTTAAAACCCTAGGCGACTCGGCTCTCCCTGCATTTTTCTGCTTGAAGCAGGATAAAAAGCCTTAAATTTTGGCTGCTCCTCTATTTATGTAACAACCACAGCTGCTCCCCAGAATAGCTGCTGCTGGCTGAAAGAATGAAGGGCTTTTGTTGTGAACATTTGAGTCCATTTTCTATAGCTCTTGGATGAGTTTCCTTCCTTTTCCTTTTGCACCCTGGTCTTTTCAAAGGAGGTGAGGAGTCTCACCATTAGCTCTTCAGTGGTGCCGTCAGTAATGCGGATGGATTTTCAAGTCAGGGCTCATCTTCTCGGCAAGAACAAATTTAGCTTCTTCATCCATTCTGTGGCAGGTGACCTCCTGGCTACCCGGTATATACTAACTACCCTCCCTTCGGAACGTGGCAGGAGGCTGATGGCGAGGCTGATGGCGAGGCCCTGCATGTTTGCAACCCCCAAAGAGACAAACAGATGGGGCTCCTTCTGTGTTTTGGGGGGACAAGCCCAAACCTGGACTGCTGGCCAAGCTCTGAACAGGGCGCCCTCCCCAGAGAGTAACAAAAACAACCCTTGTCGAGGCGATCAAACGCGTTAAAAAAATACAAAAGTTATTTTCTCCTTTTGATGGCTGTTGACTTTGTGATAACGTTTGTTAAAAATATTACATCTGTCTTTGGGAAGAGCTCATTCTCTTCATAAAATATGGAAAAATAAACTCTACCAAACCCACAGTTAACACTCCCCAGGCCTGCCCCGGGGCTCCGGGCGGCGCATCTCCAAACACCGTCGGCAGAGTGAGTGTGCTACGCTTCCCGGTGGGCGGTGGGCGGTGAGCGAGCGCTTCTCGCCGTGCGAGGCAGGGCTGCGAGGGAGAGAAGGAAGTGACGGGCTCCCGGGGGAGAAGGAGGACATGGGATGGCTGATTGGCTAACAAAATGAAGGTACCAGGGTGGTTTGGGGCCCTCCTGTACTCCGTGGGATGTCCCCTTGTCTCCTCTGACCACTCGCTGCCCAGCTAATGCTCGGGGGGTCACGAAAGGGAGGGTAGGGAGCCATCATCGCTGCCATTGCAAAGGAGGGCTCATCTTCCACACCGAGGATCAAAGTAAAACACTGAGCTGGATGAATGGGAGAAGACAAGGATCCATAAAAACAGTAAAATGTTTATTTTCTTAGAAAAAAAAGTGGGGAAGAGAGATTCGAAACGATTGTGATCACACTTCGGTCTGCATCTGAGCCCAGCCCACGTCGGTCGAAAGCTTAATCCTCCAGCTGATACCTAGTGAGCAAACCGCCTGCTGCTCGCGCCGGGGTCACGCCCAGGAGTCAGGTCACTACATGCTTTTAATCGATAAGAGTTTCTCTACTTGCTCTTAGCAGAGAAACAAGGCTTGCCATAGCAACCGTCCCATCCCCCAAGCGCCACATCGCCCTTGAGAAGCGAGGCTCTGGACCACTCGGGAGAGACAGGGAGGAAGGGGGGGGGGCGGGAGGAGATGCTTAGAAGCGGACCAGTCTAGAATAGAAGTCTGATATCTGAGTTCACCACTACCTCATCTTATAGAAAATAGGTTGGAGAGCCTCTGTAAAACCAACGGTATCTTTAAGGTGGAGTCGCAGAGTTTTGCTGCATACCTGGACACAAGAGAAGTGAAAAGTTGCAACAAGTTTTAACTAGCAGCAACAAAGAAAGTTCGGTAACAGTTGTTTTTTTTTTTTGTTTGTTTTTAGCAATATTCCCTTGCAAGTTCATTAGGAAACACTGGAATTTAATGGGGCATACGATATGGAACAATCTTCTTTTGCTAGAGTGCTGTTCCTTGGAGAGGACCGACCTTTGCAAAGATTTCAACTGGGGTGTCACCTATATACACAGTAGTAGCTCCTGGTTGCAGAGTTAGATTGGTGCTATGTGATATCTTCTTCTTCCGAACAGTAATCTCGACCCTGGAGGGGAAAAGAAAGGTACAGCGTGTGAATGAGAAATTCAAAGCTGAGCCTGAGACAGGTACATGTATCGATCTTCTCCCAGCGTCTGTCTCCTTGCACCAAAAACCCAGGCTCCATCAGCGACTACCCGGCACGAAACCGATACGTCATAAATATGTTTTATAAATGGTGTGTACCGATTTATGAACTGCATATACCGCCAGGCGTGGCAGTTGTACCAAGCCCCAAACTAACCCTTACTTTATAGTGATGAGAACTTTCATGACGCACATACAAGACTCAGCCTTTCACTAAGAGATTAGCAAATGGACGATCCATTCAGGAGACCAATTTCTCCTGAACAAGAGACACTGAAATGAAGAAGGAACAAGTCCCTTTCAGCTGCGGCCAGGGCCGCTCACATTTTACAGCTCCGCGTCCATGCCCGGAATTTACGGTTTTACAGAGAGAAGGTCTTCGTTTTAGTGCACTCCAAATTAAAACAGGATTTTTAAAAACAAACAAGGACTCACTGAATGTAACCTATTTTAGGACTACGCTTGGTATGTGTGGGACGCACAGGAAAGGCAAACATGCTGACGCATGTGCTAACAAAACAGTTCCCAGCAGGCTTAGGGACTCCACACCGCGGTCACCTTTGACCGTGACCCGCCTTCTCTCCAGGAGGATATACACTCCACGGAGGCACCGTCAGGGCCGGGACTCACGCTCCACGCCTGGCCTGGCTGGGCTGCCTCGGCCAAGGCCCGCGGCTTCCCGGTCTGCCGCCCGCCACGGACGGCACGGGAGTGAAGCGGCTCCCTGCCTCTCGGTGTCGCAGACCAGGGCTCCGTGTCACCCCAGCAAGTTCAGTAAAAATAGTTCACGGATTAGTGCGGTTCGCTTCCTTTGACTTTTTTCTTTTAAAATATATACTACATTTTGTTCAGTTTTGGGGTGGGGGAGATATTCCTTTAAAGACAGAATTTTCTAAATAACTGGGCCTTATTTGTAAAAGTATCTAAAACTTAAAGGATATACTTTTGCATAAAACTCTTAATTAAATGTATCCCATGTTTCCTTTTTTTTTAAAGATTTTATTTTATTTTAGAGAGGGAAGGGAGGGAGATAGAGAGAGAGAGAGAAACATCTATGTGCGGTTGCTGGGGTCATGGCCTGCAACCCAGGCATGTGCCCTGACTGGGAATCGAACCTGCGACACTTTGGTTCACAGCCCGAGCTCAATCCACTGAGCTACACCAGCCAGGGCTATTCCGTGTTTCTTTGTCACAATATCTGCACATTGGAAATGTTACACATTCTCCTAAGAGGGAAGTGTCCTCGTGATGAATCGCTGTGTCGCCTGGCTGGGGGCAGTCCCGGCTCTGACGTACTAGCTCTGGGATCTGGGCTAAGTCACCTCTCTGTGTCTCTGTTTCCCCACCTGTAGAATGAGGGAAACAACAGCACCGACTTCACACGGTTGCGCGAAGGTTGAATGAGTTAATGGTAGTGAGGTGGTTAAATAGTCCCTGGCACATAATTTATACATGTGGTACGTGCGTGTGCACGCAGGTACACCTGTATTTGATAAACTGAAAAACGCTACCACATAGTGAAGTCATCGGGGGCGGCCTGTAGTTCCCGGGCTACCTGGCCCCAGGTTGCTGGTTCTCTGTGAATGCGGTTCACTGACTGGCGTGCTTTAGTTTTCCTCCCACGTCAGACTGCTGACCCTGCCGTCCACCCCTTACAGTGTCTGACCCCAGTGCCCTCCTCACCAGCCTTGTTTTACTTGCCGCATGAAAACACCTTCTGGGCAGAGAACCTGGGCAACCGACCTTCCTGAGAAGGGGAGCATGAACTCAGAAGTCACCCCCTACTGATGGCCTCCCTGGTCACCCCTCCCAAGCAAGTGGAGACCCGCCCAGAGCCTGGGCCCAGAACACTCAGAAAACACCCCCTGGGCCATATGGTGAAAAGATGGAAGGGACCCTGACACGGGCCCTGAGAGCTGGGAGTTTATTTTGCGCATCTGAACACGTCAGCACAGCGCGGCACACCCACCGGGTGAGGCTCTCCACATACCCTCCGAGTGGGGAGCGAAGGCATTGACCCCCCCATGGACGAGGGGTGTTCAGCTGGAGGGAAGGGAGGGCTCGTGGAGTTTTCATTAAGAAAGGTCAGAGGACCTGTTCAGGGTGTATGTGGCACACACACTGTTGTGTGACATCAGGCAAATTACTGGGCTTTGGTTTCCTGGGGATAATCGCAGGGCTGCCATCGGGACTAAAGGGGAAAACTATAGTGTCTGGCGGGCAGTCAATAAATGTTTGCTGCTGTTGGTATGACGGAGGTCATTACACCTCGTGCTTGTCCAGTCCCCTGGCACAGGGATAGGGACCTCCTTCCGTGTGGCTGTCAGGTGAGGATGGTGGTCATCAATTGTGATCTGACAGATGTCAGGGAGTCCCTCCTCCCACCTCAGCCTTGCACCCAGGACAGGCCAGAACGTCATGTTCCCGATGGCAGATGCCTGAGTCCCTTCCCTTCTTATATCGAAGGGAGGCCTCAAGTCGAAGTGAAGGCCCAGCGTGGGGCTCAGCAGACACCTTGTCCACAGGGAAGACTTGGACCCAGTGATGGACAGGCGTGCACGCACACACACACACACACACACACACACACACGTCTCCAACTCTGTAAATGAGTTACAGGGTTATGAAGCAGAAGGCGCACTTCAGACCCTCCGTGTTTACGGCTCCCAGAAGAAAGCGCCCCCTTTTGTGGAACCAATATACAGAAACCTGTGTACACCCAGGACTGCAGCCTTCACTCCCCAAGCATCCGCCCCCTGAAAGCGCTGTAATTGCTACGAGAAGGAAAACCCCACCCAGCGCCTTGCAGACAGAGCTTCATCGGTGTTCGCACCAGCCCTGCGAGCCGGGCGTGGCGCCCTGCGACTTGCGGTCAAACCTGAGCCCAAGAGCCCAGGATAATCCTTGCTTTTTTTGCTGTGACTGTAGTTGATAACTAAATTCAAGTTCGAATCAGTTTCATTTTTGTTCTTATCACCTGTCAGCAGCTCTGAGAACCAAATATGTTATGAACAGAAAACCTGGAAATCAAAGCCGTCGAGAGTATGAGCCCCCAGATGGCCGGTGTCCTTTTAGGAAAGGGGAACCCGAGAGCTGGGACTTGCGTGGCCTCAACACCCAGGGTCCCACCTGCACTCCTCCAGCCCTAAGGGGCAGATCAGGGAGCTGGCTTCTATAACTGACTTCACATCTCATTTAAATTTTTAAAGAGCTGTGCTAAAAAGAGGACCTTCCGACCTTCAGCTGTCAGAAGGCAGGAAGTGGGAGGAGCCGGGTTTGGGAAATACACAGCCATTCTCTGAGCCCCAGCGCGCCCTTTCCCCCAGCAGGACTGCAGAACGGAGGTCTTTGTAAAGACGCTTTGCGCCGTTGGAACCAGGGACTGTCGGGCACAATTCCGCTCTTGTGCACAGGCCGCACTGAGAGCTACAGAGAGCAAAACCCCTACGAGGGCCCCACCAGCTGGAAGACCGGAAACGCCCGGTGATGCTGACAAGGAAGGGTTGTTGGGGGGACCACGTGGGCACTGCAGAGCAGACACCAGAAATCGCAGCTTTTGCTTACTGACGAGTCCCTGACCACACCCTTCCTCTGAAGGGAATACCCCACATCCTCTTCAGTCGTCTGCATGGCTTTCTGGGAAACGTAGAGAAGTTGAGGTCAACTCAGAACACACATTGCCGAGGTTCTAGGGTAAAAGTTTTTGTTTGTTGACATATCTAGGTTAAGAATTAGAGATTTTAAGGAGTAGCAAAGGAAAGGGCATTATCCTAATTTAAAATTCTGCAAGTTTAATGAGGAACGCTCCAAGAGTGACTTTAAATACTAAAAACTTCCTGCAAAGTCCCTACGGTGCTTTTTTCTTCAAGTTTAAGTTAGACAAATTGCCTAGGCCTGGCCGTCCAGTTTCAGGGGTGATTTTAAGTTAGTCTTTAGTACGTTTTTGTAGACGGGTTTGCATTGGGCCTCATACATACGCCTCAGCCATACAACAATTACCCGAGAACTGCCCAGTTCACCAAATGAGTAGGTTAGAGCGAGATGAAAATTACTGGAAGGGTACACTGAACCCCAGTTTCCCCATCTCTAAAATGGGGACAGAAAGACCCAATGTAGTAGTGTTTTTGTGGGGAGTTAGAAGTAAAATACATAAGGTGTTTAGCAAAGCTTGGCACATGGTGGGTACTTGAAAAATTATAGCTCTTATGATGATACTGAAAAATGACCTCAATAGACCCACCAACAAATAGTTCATAAACAGCTTGGCTGAGAAATTGGGCCCACAGCTGAATCCATCATTTACATTCAGGTCCTTGGTCCAGTGGGGGATCTGGGTGCCTGTCCTCCCTCCTTCCTGGCTGGCTCCCTTGTCCCCAGCCCTCACGCATCCATTACTGCCCATTTTCTCAATCTCTGCGGAAATGTCACCTCGCCGTCTTCCCTGAACACACTATACCCAATAGCACTTCTTAAACCCTGCTTCATTGTTATTTATATTCGTTATCATCACCTGACATCATCAAGTAATCAGAAGTAATGAGTGGGCAGACGCTGATTGATACCTTGTCGTAGCCTCAGGACTTAGACTAGGGTCGGGAGCATGTCAGATGCTCCATGAACACTTGTTGAATAAATGAAAGGATGGCAAGTATGTAGACAGTTCGGAAACTGTGGAGTTGGAAGGGGACCCAGCAGTTCTCCTCTCTGACCTTGCACCTAACTTGGGATGGGCCGCCCTTTACCGCCTTCCAGACAGGGAAACTTCTCTTTTCGGCTGGAATGTGTCAGATGCTTTTCCAAGCTGCCCGTGAAACTGTTCAACAGCGGAGCCCAACCCTGCCTCCTGCCCACAGAACGGCTTAGTCTGGACCCTTGGAACCGGAGGATGGGTCTCCCCAGATCAACAGTATACCCTCTGTC